ATGACGAAGGGCTGTGCAATCAACAGTATGAGCAAGAGTCTAGCCATGTAAAGTTATACTTATAGTTATACTTTCCCTTTAGTGGTTTAGTTGTTACCTTTACCGTTTTACATGTAGAAAATGACATGTGATTTAGCATTCTGTTTTTATATGAATGTTAATGAGTGTCATTAATTTTATTCTTCAAACAACTTTTAAATTATTGCTAGCCAACCTTTTTTAGAATATCACATATATGGATTCACAGTGTGCCCTAAAAAGGTGGCGCAACGGTCAGTAAAAAGTCTAGGTTTGTTAGTATTAAACAAGAAACACCACGTGAAGGTCAACCTAATAGTTTCTCATCCATTTTTATAGTGGTTGGCTTTCAGTCTATTTACAAAACGTCACTTAAAACAAAATTTAATTCACATTTTAATGAGATTTTTGATATTTTTTGCGATTATCAACAATTTTATTAATATTTGACTCAATATTCGATGACTCAATATGGTTTTCCCAAAATTTCAAGGCATTGAACGCTTCATATATAACGTTACGTTTTTTGTCAAGTTTATAATATTCCCAACCCCTCCCACCCCCTGTTTATCCATATATGAATTCAAATGTTCATTCTTTCAAATGGTTAATAATTTTTAATCCAAACTTTAAAACATAATTTTAATGTAGTTTATGACAATTGGCTTTTCTACTTCAATGTCCCAAAAGGACCTTCGTTGGCGACCAATATTTTAAATGATATAATAATTATAAATTCAAATTTTTAATATAGTGTCCGGTGAAGTAAAAAGTGGCCAATTGTTGGCAATAATGGGCGCCAGGTTTGTGTCATTTTGAATAACCTTGATCATATCATTAAGATATTAAATATTTGGTTCACGTGTTGATACAGTGGCGCCGGAAAGACAACGCTATTGAATGTATTGACGGCCAGAAACCTATCGAAACTGTCGGTGAAAGGAGTGGTGCTATTGAATGGACAGGCGGTCAGTGGCGAGAATATGGTCTCCAAGTCGTCATACATAGAACAACACGATTTGTTTCATTCCTTGCTTACAGTCAGAGAACATCTCGTTTTTCAAGTAATTTTTATATATGTTTTAATAAAACACTTTTTATTACAAAACATTTTATAAATACTTATCATTTCAATTAAAATTTAATTTTTATAGTCATTGTTACGAATGGATACGAGTTTCACTCGAGACCAAAAAAGCGCTTTAGTGGACCAATTGCTCATAAAAGTTAGTTAACTACGTATAAAAAATAATTTATGATTATTTTAATTATTAAAATTTTATGCTTAAAAATTAACAATAATTTTAGTTTAATTTAAGCAAATGTATGGACACTCAAATTGGGGGCGATTTTGAGTTTAAAGGCATTTCTGGGGGAGAAATGAAGAGATTGTCGTTTGCATCAGAGGTTTGTATACTAATTATATATAAATTAATAATTGTGTTTTCAAGGTTGCAATGACTTTGTTTAATTATGACCATGTTTTACAAATTTTTATTTGACTATTTATGTAGATTCTATCAAATCCTTCATTATTGTTTTGGTGAGATTGTTATCTCGTATTATATGTTGTTTTAAAATATATTCATAATTGTTGTCTGTGTTGTCATCAGTGATGAGCCGACGACTGGTTTGGACTCATTTATGGCCCAAAATATTGTGCAGACATTGAAGACAATGGCATCGGAGGGACGGACTATAGTCTGTACTATACATCAGCCCTCGTCTCAAGTGTTCGCTCTCTTCGATCACATCTTACNTGGCATCGGAGGGACGGACTATAGTCTGTACTATACATCAGCCCTCGTCTCAAGTGTTCGCTCTCTTCGATCACATCTTACTTATGGCCGACGGAAGGGTAGCTTTTATGGGCACAACTGGTCTGTATATCATTTATACCATCGCATAATTTTTTATTGTTATCTATTATATTTTATAATATTTTATATATTTAGAGACAGCAAAACACTTTTTCTCTTCACTCGGTTTTGTAAGAATTTAAATTTTATTTTATTAATAAATTTAAATTATAATATATATTCTTCCATTAGGTTTGTCCGAAAAACTGCAATTTAAGTGATTATTATATTAAAGAATTGGGTTTGTATTTAAGGTTATGGCTCGAGTAATTTTAAAATGAATTATTATTTTTACATTTCTAAATAGGCATTACTTCTAATAATTATGAGGAGAACAGGATTAAAGTGAATGTACGGAATATTTTGTGTATACAGTATGTACAGGTTATATCAAGAATGGAAACTCCCATTATAAACCATTAATTTCCAAATGACCAGAATTTCTCGGGAAATATCGGAGTTAATTAAATCAAAATTTTATGGCTTACAAGCAACTATCCTAGCTATTGTTTGTGAAAATTTAAATTAAATTCAATAACCCAACTGTCAGTAAATTATATTTTAACATAGCTATGCTTATACAATTACATTGAACACCATGCTTTTTATAATTTAATAATTCTGGTAGAATTTAATTCGATATCGGGGTTTAATGTTATCTTATAAACATTAGATCACGAAGTTATAATATTTAAAAATTAATATCACCCGTTAATTTTATTGTAAATTTGTGAAAACAATAGAATATTTTAATATTTTAAACAATTTTACATTATATTCTATGGAAAGTATACCCATGGGAAAATGTAATTTACGGAAGGTTGGGTTATTGAAATTAATTATAATTCTCACAAACAATAGCTAGGATAGTTGACTGTTAGATATAATATTTTGGTTTAATTAACTCTGATATTTCCCGAAAAAATGATGGTCACTTTGCGCTAAAATAAAAATCAATGGTTTACTATGAGCGTTTCCATTCTTGATATGTCCTGTACATACTTTATATATATATATATACGGTATTCCCAATAACTATCTTTAGTCCGAAAAACGCGAATAACTTTTGACTGTGTGATGCAATTTTGAATCTGTTTTCACAGAATTGTTGCCTGATAACACCAGAGTAATTCCATACATAATTTGCCCAGGTAACTATCACGGTTACAAAAATGTATAAGATCTAGTAACGGACAAATTTCTCATAGAAAAGCATTGATTAATTTTTTTAGTCAAATAGTGTACCAGTTCTAACCTCGATACTTTTTCAAAAATCTATTTTTTGGAGATGTTCAGTATAAGTAAAAAGTGTAATTTGTATATTTTGAAATTTTTGTAAAACAACTTGTCGTCTCTGTAATGTTGTATTTTTATAGCTCAAAACATACTTGGTCGATTTTATCGTTTAATACACTAAATTATCCAGAATAAAAAATAAGTTGATATGTGTTTCAGGAAATTTTTAATAGTGAGCATTTTGAAATTTTACTAACTTTAAACACCTTTAAAACAATTACGATAATTTTTTAGATATTTCCTGAAATAGCTATCAATTAATATTTTATTCTGAATAATTTGGTGTATTAAACGATAAAATCGACCAAGTACTTTTTGAGCTACAAAAATACAACATTACCGAGAAGACAAGTTGTTTGAAAAAATTTTCAAAATATACAAATTACATCTTTCTCTAATACTGAACATTTCCAAAAAATAGATTAATGAAAAACAAGTACTTTTTGAGCTACAAAAATACAACATTACCGAGAAGACAAGTTGTTTGAAAAAATTTTCAAAATATACAAATTACATCTTTCTCTAATACTGAACATTTCCAAAAAATAGATTATTGAAAATGCACCTAGGTTAGGAATGGTATACCAATAACTGTATTGTCTATTTTGGTTGAATGATTATTCAATGCTTTTCTATGAGAAATTTGTCCGTTACTAAATCTGACATATTTCTGTAGCCGTGATAGTTAACT